CGAAAAACCCTCCCACAGAAGATCTCAGTTCTGACCTGGGACTCCACCCCCACTTTCCCCAAAAATCCTTGGCACACCCCTTTTCGCACTTCCAGGCCCACATCCTACTCCGATCAGGAAGTCGCGCTGGGCGTGAGGTTGGGCATCACAACTCAACTGCCACACAAATTCTTTTCTAGCCTATCCGGTTGCTAGTGGGACCATGCCCCAGGAGCGAGATCCCACTAGCCATCTATGTGGATTAGTGTGATGGGTGTGGGACGGGTGGGGGACAGGTGGGTGGCAGCGTGAAATAATGAAAATAACCGCAAAAAAACATTTCATGACCAAACAAATGAAAACAAACCTGCTAAAAAAGAAAAGAAACTGCTCTTCTCACGGATGGTGTCTGCTCCAGGCCCGGTGTCAGATGTCAGGGTATGATTCACTGACCATGGCTGTGGCAGTCAAGACGACTGCATGTGAGTGGGCACATGGACCATATTCATTGACAAAAGTCTGAGGCTGCCTTGAAATAGGCCGCGGCCACAGTTCACGCTGACGCTGTTCGGTTGTTCTGACAGAAATTCTATTTGGCAAAGGAGGGCAAGAGTAACCCCATACACCATTTGCTGTAGGTGAGGGGATCGAACCCTCCAAAACACCTGCCAAACCACAATCAATTTCCGAGGATGAAGCCATTGGTCTTTGCCTTCGCCATGAATGAAACGTGCGTGATTTCATGAACCAAATAAATTGGTCTCGATTTCAAGCACGTTTGGGACCGCCACAGGACCTCCACAGCAAAAACAAAAGAAAAACCTACAAATGGGAGCGCAAACAAAAACATCCTTTTCCCGGGCTTAATTCACAAAAACAGGCTGCCGCTGATTTCCTGCCAAATCCACAATGCCCGACAGTCACAAACCTTAAACCACCAGTACTTCCTAAAGTCGCGTAGCGTTAACGCTACGTGATTTTAGGAAACGTACGGGCCACTACAGGAGCGCCCAAATTCATCCAACTAGAAACGGTTCTACTCTATTTTTTTCCGCGGCCGATAGCTGGGCCAAGTACTGGTGGTTTAAACACTAATCCACATACATCGGTTGTGGGATCTCGCTCCAGCTTTGGTTGGTGTTCCCCCGTACTGTACATAGATAAATGAGATTATATATTAAAAAATGGACCATTTCTCGATTTATGCGTGTCATCCATGAGATAGATGCGGAGTAATATACATAGATATAGATATATAGAGAGAAAAATATGATTATATTAAAAAAAAATAAAAAAAAATCATGTATACAGGTGATGTACTGTGCACCCCCACAGCAGGCACTCGTCGTTTTTTGTATTTTGGGGATTCGTTTCCACCTTCCTCCCGCGGGTTCACTGATTCCACCCTCGCCCTCAAACCCCTTGTCAGACAGTAACCCTTTGTTTTTTTTTGTTTTTTTTTTGGTAGACTGGACCAATGCAATCCAGCGTGAATGATTGTGACAACTGGCGTGAAACTGGGAACAGGTGGCCAATAAGGAAGACGCAGCTGCCCACGAATAGATTGGAGCATTTGCTTTCAAAAAAAAAAAAAAAAAAAAAAAAAAAAAAAATTTTTTTTTTTTAGAAAAAGAWAAATTTTTTTTTTTTTTTTTTTTTTTTTTTTTTTTTTTTGGAACAAAGCTCCAATCTATTCGTGGGGAGCAACACGTGGTGGGAACCGGGCCCAGCGTCGGACTGCTCACCGACAACGGTTGACTCCTTCTCTTTTCTTTTCTTTTCTTTTCTTTTTGAACTTCCCGAGCCAGTGGTAGGGGTGCTGATAGGAGCACACACCACTATCACTGTCGGGGAGGCTCCATCTATTGGTGGGGAGCAGCACCTGCTGGAAAGTGGGTCCCTGAACATCATAGTTGCTT